TCTGTGGACCTTTCTTCTGCTTGATCTTCTATGCCCTTCGTTCTATCTGCAACCACCGCCGGCGCCGCCGGCGGCGGCGCCGCCGCCGCTGTAGCTACTAGACCCCTAAAATGTGTTCTTCTCGAGGCATTCTTCTCCTTCTCCTCCTCCTCCCATCAAAATCAAGAAAAAATCTTGGGATTTATAGGAGTGATGAATCTTGAATGGTCCATATTTTTTCGAGATTTTCCCGAAATCCGATGAAATTAAAGAAAAAAAACACGAAATCTGAACGAAATGGGAAAATCTGAAAGAATTTAAACAACCCAGATCTCCATTTTGTAGATTGAGCAAAATCTTGACGATCATGGGTCAAGATTGCCCTTTTTTCTTTAAAAAAATTTCAAAACAAAAAAATTATATATAGAAACAAGAACAAGAATAAGAACAAAACACACACACTACACACACTCAGAAGAGAGAGAAGATAGAGAGAGAATCTGAGATCTTTGAAAAAAAAAACAACACAGTTGTCAAGAGTTGTCTTAAGAGACAGATCAGATTCAGTTATATATGGAAACAAAAAGGAGATGAGAAAATTACTCTTTCTTGTTTTTTATTTTTTCTTTTATTTATTTATTTATTTTTATTTGTGAAATTAAAAAAAAAAAAAAAAAAAACAATATAATGCAAATCTAATGCATGCTATATGAATGCTTTGCCACTCTCTTCCAATCTAATTTATCGCCAAAATCCTCGCTCCACTCTTCTTTTTCACCATCCTTTAGACCGCCTCTTTCTCCCTCTTTTTTTTCCTTTTTATTATTATTATTGTAATAATAATAATAATAATAATTATTATTATTATTATTATTATTAATTAATTATTATTAATTATTTACTATAATTAGGCAATTTGATTTATGTAAGATGGGATTTCTAAAAGGAGAAAAATGTATGTGGAGTAAGGCAAGGTTGGATTGTGCATGTTTGTAGCATTTTAGGACATTTACTTTTGGAAGTTTTATGCATGGGCCCCTAAATTTCATGCATGCACACTCTCTCTCTTTCCTCTTCAGGGTTTTTTTATTTTTTTAATATTAGAATTATAACCCTAAAGTTTGATATAAATGCAAAAAAGATCCCTTCCACTTGAGAAATTACCATTACTCCATGAGATTATAGTCCATTGTACAGATTTTTGTCATGTGTTAAGTACTTAGTAGTAGTGACAGAAGAATCTTTGAAATTCTAGGAACCATTATTTGAGAATTCCATAATTCAACGCGCCGATGGTAGGCCATTGTTAAATTTTGTATTGATTTAATCTCATTTTTGCACCCATGAAAATATAGTTTTTTTTACCACTGTGCACCCTCAAAATGAATTAATAGCACTTTGCACCCTCGAAACACGATAAATCATGAATAATTCACCCCAAATGAATAAAAAGTCAATAAAAATTGAAATTACCCTTATTAGGAAACACGATAAATCATGAATAATTCACCCCAAATGAATAAAAAGTCAATAAAAATTGAAATTACCCTTATTAGGCTTTAAATATTTAATTTAGGGTGCATTGTAAATGATTTACATTATTTCTAGGATGTAAAGTGCTATTAATTTCTTTTCAAGGGGTGTGCCATTATTATTGTATTTTACTCTCCTTTTAATTTAGGGGTGGTTGGTTTATACATTTTGCAAATTTCTTTTGGATTCTTTATGGATCATTATTTTGAGGGATTTAATTGTAAATTCTCAACAAAAAAAATATACTTTCGTTTGTAATTAAATCAAACCTTATAAAATAAATTAAATCATTATATGAGAAAAAAAAGTCAATTTATTTAGGTGCCAGCTTATAGTGGTCCACAAAGTAGGAATTAGCTTTTTTTTTTTTTTTTTTGACAGATGGAATTAGCTTATTTTGAGTATGTGAAATTTACTTTTATGTTTCTTTGTAGCTCACTTTATTGGTTGGATATACAAAAATATATCTTTAGATGGTCCATTAAAATTGCTTGCAATTTAACTCAATCTTTTTATATATATATCATGACATTGATTTCATAGTACCATAGATATGACTTATGAGTGTGAGTGTACGAAGATTTAGAGCCCGTTTGGTAAAGCTTATTATGAACAACTGATAAATTTTTAGATCTGATAAATTATTTTAAGTGCTGGAAGGTGGTACCACTTTATTTTTAGAATTAACTCATTAAGTTTAAACTGTTTGAAAAATGAGCTTATGAGCTACTTTTTACTCATTATAATATCGGAAAAAAAAAATATGGTGTAGATGTACTTTCAAAAAAAAAAGGTTTTAAAAAACTTTCCCCCCGGTTTATTTTTTGAATTTTTAAGATTTTTTTTTTTTAATATCGAACACCTTGTGAGAGCTTATAAGCTCTTAAACAACTTATAGGTGATTTATAACATCTTAGCCAAACACCCCTATATTCGAATGTCACACCCGGAATCGCATTAGATGTTTTCATCAAAACAAAATTAATCCCATAAATTATATCTTTATTATCAATTTATGTAGTATTAATTTCTCAATGAGGTACATGTTCTTGAAACAATTATGGTTTATTGCGTACTAATTATAATCTTCTTGTCTTATATTTCATTTACTACTTTCAAAATAAGATCTTGTTGCCTATAAGATTGAGATTTTATTTTCAAACAAGAACTCTTATTTAAATCATCAACGTGTCATTCACTAATTACAAAAGATCATTTATATTATAAAGATCTCATCAATTTATAGTCAAAACTACAAAATATATTTTCAAGAAAATCGAGGCCAAAACGGTAGAATTCCAATATATTTCACGATGTGTAACATCTATAATAAAGAAGAAAAAAAATGTAGGGCAAATTACAGTCACCCCTGAAGTATGCTCAAATTACAAAAAAGTCATTTATGTTTGGATAATTACAACCACGCTTTCAACTATGTATTGTCTTGCACATCCATCCTTACAGTTTCAAATTTATACATAGTTGAGGGGAGTGGTTGTAATTATCCAAACAGAAGGTGTTTTTTTCGTAATTTAAACTACCAAAAATGTAATTTAATTAATTAAATATTATATTATCATAAGTTCAAATATTGTATAAGCTTAGCTAGCAAAAGGGTCCACTTGCAACAATATTAATTAAATTCCCCAATCTTTAGAATTATTGCATGGACCACAAAAAATTTACTATCAATATTTTGTTACTAAAAACGTTTACAAGCCAAAAAAGGAAGGACTTGATACAAAACAAACCGTAGACCATAACCGAAAGGCAAGCCAAGAATTGAAAGTGGGGATCAATTAAAATTAAAAATCAAATCTTTCAAATGTTATGCCAATGGGTATTACTATTTGCAGCGGTACTTTTACTGAAATTGGCTTATTTGCAGCGATAGCTTTTTCATTTTAATTTTTCCAAGTTGCAAATTCTCTCTCCTACTCCCAAACACTCTCTAGAAATTTGAATTTCGTAAATTTTTTTCGACATTCAAACCGTACAAACGAGGCTCGATTCCGGTAAGTTTTCGATTTCCTACTACTTTTAATTAGTTTCATTTCCAATTTAGGTAAAAACACGTGTTTAAGAATAGATCTAGCAAATTTCGGAAAAAAAAATAAAAAAATTGAAGCCCCCGTTTTCTGGAGCACGGAGAACTCAAGAACATTGAAGTTCTTAAATTTTTCGAAACGATTTTGTGTTTCCCGTGTTTTGGTGAACGGGGGCCTGGAAATTTTTTAAGTTCCCGTTCAACGCGGAAATTCAAAATAATTTTTTTTTTTTTTTTTTTTTTATTATTTTATTTAATTTGTTTTTTAATCTTTTACAGATGGCACGTCAGGACAAAGGGAAAGGACTTATGGGTTCTTCTTCGAGTTCGGATAAATTTCCGAAGATTAAATTTCGGTACGGCGGGCAAGGCGCGACGGAAGCCGAGGCGGAAGCGGAGCGCATTCGTATGACTGCATCTCATCGTCGTAGGAGAGTTATGGAGCGCGACACTGGTTTACCGGTCGTGGACGAGATTCCCCACATAGATCAGAGTTCTAGATCTATGGCGGGTAGCATTCGATCTGTAGGGGCAGATTCTCGTATCCCCTACGAGGGACACGAGGAGGAGCATGACCATGTTGAGAGCGATTACGATGATGTTCCCGTCCCGGCCGCGCGCGCACGGAAGTCTCG